ACCAGGTCACTGTAGCCTCAAAGACTTATTGTAACATCTCGCCACCTATAAAGCGCCAGTCAGGCCTATAATTTCCAAAAAATTATAGATTCGTCCAAGCGCCAACTCCTACAAGTCCGAAGATGCCACGACATATCCACCAGTATAAGTGAGCCAGTATAATTTGTGCAAATGATAGCGAAATCTGCAGTGACCAGTGAGGAGGACCACCACCATCCTGTCCGGTTATATAATAGGCAGATGGGAACATTTATAAATTTAAATATTTAACATTGGCAAGTTTTTTCCGTAAAAATATTTTATTTAACAACAGTGATAAGACACTAAAGAATATTATAGCCAACCACCCTGTAAACCATATTTTCGCTTATATACCACAGATCTTGTTTCCGCTATATTCTTTTAATTTTTCTTTTAAAAAAAATTTTTGTTTTTTTTTTCAGTAATTCACTTGTATATATGTATGTATGTATATTATATAGAAAATAAGGAAAATTATTCAGGGAAAACCCTTTAACTGTATACAATTCAACAAATATTTTAATATTGCTCTGTATATATACCCTTGCATAGTATATAATATATTTAGACAGATATATTAAGGCCCATATATGAATTCGTTTAGTATTGTGTATATATTTGTAATTTACTCCAAATGTCTGTTTATTTCACATTATACGGAAAATAAATTAAAATATTTGAAATTTTAATAAAAACAAAAATAGAACATGTACATAACTGGGTGTTAATAGAGTACACACATATACACACATATATAGTTGGACATTGTAAAATAATTTTTCAACGTTTTGAATAACAAACATTCAAACGTGATATACACAATATTTATATGTAAATAAAATTTATATTCAAATGTAAAATGTAATGTAAATAAAAATAAAATAGGAATTTGTTTTAAATGAAATTTATATCCTTTTTGATTTAAACATGTTGTTTTTGTAATAACCAGCATACATACATTTACAAACATACGTTTTATATATTCATTTAAAATCTGACAGTTTGTAAATTTCTAAAATTTAATAAATATGTCAATAATATCAACTGTAATACACAAGTATGCATATATAATTTAATATACATTCTTCAAAAAATCGCCCAATGATAATTTGCCACTAGATTTATTTTATGAGAAATTCTTGTAATTTTATTTACATTTTTAAATTAAAATATAAATTAGGTATCGAGATCGAATTTTCATTCACAATATTACGAAAATTTGAATACGACATAAATAATCGATTCAAACAATTTTAATCGAATTACGTAAACGTGTAAAGAGTAATTGTAAAAAGAATACTCAAATTATGTACAACTAAGGAGAACCATAAGAAATCGAGAATTTGTCATTCATTTTAAAATTTTGAGGTGGCTCTCATTCTCTATGAAACATTTACTTTCAAAACTACAAAGTTTTCCCTGATAAACTCTCGCTCTTAACTACTAAAAATTGCAGTTAATATAATATGTATGTAAATTTAAATTTAAAATCCAAAATTATTTCAAATTCTTGAAACCAAAGTCATATATTTTCAATTTTTATTTTTTTAGTTAACAATTGGATATACAGCTCTGGTTGCAACACCACAGTGATTATTTCTATTACGAGCCATTTTAATATAACCATTATCTCCCCACCAATCACCCCATGAATTTCTAACTAACCAATAATCTTGTCCATTTTCAGTACCATAACCAACAATAGTGATAGCATGTGATAACCAATTTGTTCTACATCTTGAATCATAGAAAACACCACTCTTATAATGCATAAATGTATCTAAACTAGCATCCATATCAATTGGAATTGGTCCAACAGTTGCAACAGCTTGTTTTAATGCTTGTTCATCACCACTTGGAATTTCATAGAATGTGCTAATGCTAATACGTGGTTCTCCTCTACGGCAAACATCTTCACGACCTAAGTAGGGATTGCTTGCAGCATGACCTAAACCATGAGCTAACATATAATTGTAAACGTTTCTTTGGAATCCTCCACCACAGCCATAATTTCCATATTCTTTACCACAATCTAATAATTCTTGATGAGCCAATTGTATCAATTGACCATGTTTAATGTAATATTGTCCTTCAAGAGCAGCAATAGCAGCAAATGTATAACAACTTCCACAACCACCTTGATTTAAAACTGGATTTCTGTAACCATATTCAAGCCAGTTAACGTATTCTGGTAAGTCACGAGCAGTAAAGTTTTGAGCGAATTCACTACTTCCAAATCCACTGGTTGGCATATAAGCACTACGTTCAAGTTTTGCTTTATATTCATCAACAGTGAAATCAGCAAATTCATTTACGCCCATTTCAAAAGTTGAAAGACCTTTTGCATAATTTTTGTTATGTTCTTCAATTTTCTTTAAAGTGTTGGCAAAAGTTTCTTTACGGGTAGCTTCTTCTTCATAAGAATTGTAAACTTTTCCATATTGAATTTTGAAGTTCTCCCACTCGCTGTCCAAATCAGCATAGGATTGCTGACAAGCAATTAAAGCGAAGAGTGCAACCAAGAACAATTTCATTTTTCTAAAAGAAGAATGATAATATTGAATGAAAGGTATACACAAAATTTATATTTTTTTCGTAAAAGTTCCTACTTTACCTGCGTATTTTTGGAATAATAATTAAATTTTACAAATTCTAATGTATTTATACTGCCATCGATGATTCCAAATGCGAAAATCAAGGTCGATTTTTGAAAAGATAGAATTATCTTTGAGATTATTATACTTCATAATCTAAAACCAACCAGATTAGATAGTCTAAATTGATTGACCTGTAATTAAATCACTGTCTTAATTCGGATAAAAATAGCTCCTCTTCATATTTCAAATTTACACTTAAAATAAATTTGTAACGTCAAAATATTAATGTATTACCTTAAATACTTAGATAATTACATCTCTATATATTTCTTATCTACAACTATTCCTTATCAATTAAGGAAAATTGTTCATACACGCGTGCTATGATTTTTTTTTACATTTCACTAAAATATTGCCCAAACCAGTTGTGATAAGATCAATAAAGCACTTCAATTTTAAATTTCAAACTTCTGATTATAACTACTGTTTCATATGATGCAGCCAAATTTACGCAATGTACATTAATCACAAACATATTTACCCTTTCAACACGTAAATTTTATTATACTATTGGTTAATTCTTAAAAGTTTTGAATGCTTGCCGTCCCACAGGGAATTATTTTTAAACAAAAACATTGAAGTGACTATTGCTGTTTTTTATTTAATTTGGTTAGTACTGACGTCGAATATCACATTACTGTAGGTTAATTTTTAAAAGGGGAATTTGAAGGTAGCGTGTGACAAATGAATCTCTTTACATGATTGACATTCAAATACTGAACTCTCGCAAACATTAATTTTTGGACTTATAAGGGACAATCGTAGTAGACTCATATACTAAACGAAATACATGATATTTAAACCCGGAACACTTTAATGGTAGGGCCGATGTGCAATGTGCAAAAACTTACACTTCAATCTTTTAATCAAAATCCTGGCGAAAATCAACGAGAAACTCAGTAAAGATTTAAAAAATTTGAAATGCGTCAGAAAATCGTTGCTGAATTTAATATGATAGAGAGTTCATTAGTGAATATAATCAAAGGATCTAGAAAATGTAACTGCAATATTAAAGAACCACATGAAAATTATCTATTTTTTTACAAAACATTACAACATTTGAAGAAGTTCAGCTATAGTGCGACAAGGGATTCTTTGGAGACAACTAGATAGAGCACAAGTCAACATTTCAAACTTAATGAAAACCTAGTTCTCTAAAGTGTCTGACATGGAAGACGCAAAGAATTTTCCATTGGTTCCCGTTGCGGAATAAATATTTTCGTATGCAAGTGGAAAAAACGACATGGCAAGCGTCGTTAAAGGTAAAAACGATCCATATCACCAGCTTGTATGAGCAAACGCCACAACCGACTTGTACAACCAACATGCATGTGTCGTCAGGATAACCAACTTGCAGAACAAACCCGCATGACCACCACAGGAGTTTTATGAGCACCTTCTTGAAGTACTTTCAATACATGCATGACTTTCAGGTCATTGAGATAGAAGAAGATGTATCACATCCCTTATGGGAATTGATGTTTCTATAGGTATTGAATTTGATGCTACATTGAAGATTTTTAAGAAATAGATTTTATACCAAACCATTTTCCCATATTATAAAAATAAATAAAAAAAGAGCTGCCATCCGTTTGGTTAATGAAAAAGCAGAAAACTAAAATTCTGTAGGCACATTGGAATTCTAGCTTACCGATTTTAATAAATCTAGGATTTAGGCTACCGACACAAATACACTTTGTTGCATTAGCTTCGTGGAAGAACCACGAAATTAAAAAAATTAAAGTAGAAATAAACATAGAAAAAAGTTCAGTAATTTTTGCATTATAAACAAGCTCGAGTATTAATTTTCATGAGCCATTCAGCAAACAGAGCTTCGTATAATACTGTTTCAATGGTTACGCAAGAACAGAGAAGTGCATATTTATCCGGAATTTGATGCTGTCATAATGCTTCGCTGTTATACGCAATGCGGTTGACGATTATTGCAAAAATAGTTTACATATGCGGAAAGTTAATATATAGGCTTGTCTGTTAATTTCTCATATTATTACAGATTCTTATCTACATATCATAACATGACTTCCAGACTTCTTACCTATAGAGCTGGATATTCGTGCAAACGGTATCCATTTAACTTGGCCAAAAAAGGAAAATTAACTAACAATGTTAAGATAATTGTTAAGTGTTAGTGTGAACTCGACGTTAAACTATGATCAAAGCAACAATGGTTATTGAACTCAATTATAATTCTGCCATCTGAAAAGGAACTAGCCTAATGTAAAACTATATATTACAGCAGTCGCTTTGTTTAATAAACAACGAATAAAACATGGAAAGTAATTTTAAATCGAATTTATTTTTTTAATTAACAATTGGATATACGGCTCTGGTTGCAACACCACAGTGATTATTTCTATTACGAGCCATTTTAATATAACCATTATCTCCCCACCAATCACCCCATGAATTTCTAACTAACCAATAATCTTGTCCATTTTCAGTACCATAACCAACAATAGTGATAGCATGTGATAACCAATTTGTTCTACATCTTGAATCATAGAAAACACCACTCTTATAATGCATAAATGTATCTAAACTAGCATCCATATCAATTGGAATTGGTCCAACAGTTGCAACAGCTTGTTTTAATGCTTGTTCATCACCACTTGGAATTTCAAAGAATGTGCTAATGCTAATACGTGGTTCTCCTCTACGGCAAACATCTTCACGACCTAAGTAGGGATTGCTTGCAGCATGACCTAAACCATGAGCTAACATATAATTGTAAACGTTTCTTTGGAATCCTCCACCACAGCCATAATTTCCATATTCTTTACCACAATCTAATAATTCTTGATGAGCCAATTGTATCAATTGACCATGTTTAATGAAATATTGTCCTTCAAGAGCAGCAATAGCAGCAAATGTATAACAACTTCCACAACCACCTTGATTTAAAACTGGATTTCTGTAACCATATTCAAGCCAATTAACATATTCTGGTAAGTCACGAGCGGTAAAGTTTTGAGCGAATTCACGACGTCCAAATCCACTGGTTGGCATAAAAGCACTACGTTCAAGTTTTGCTTTGTATTCAGCAACAGTGAAATCCGCAAATTCATTTACACCCATTTCAAAAGTTGAAAGACCTTTTGCATAATTTTTGTTATGTTCTTCAATTTTCTTTAAGGTATTAGCAAAAGTTTCTTTACGAATAGCTTCTTCTTCAAGGGTATTGTAAACTTTTCCATATTGAATTTTGAAGTTCTCCCACTCGCTATCCAAATCAGCATAGGATTGCTGACAAGCAATTAATGCAAAAATTGCAACTAAGAATAATTTCATTTTAAAGTTGATATTTACTATGAATTTTGTTAAATGATATTTATTCAAATTATAACCGTATTTATATAAAACGGATAGAATGGAAGAGCCAGTTATTGAATATTGATAATAAATAATTTTTTTTTACAAAAACAAAAATATGAATTATGGCACAAGTATGAAATCTTTTTACACAATTCAAATATTGATTAGATTAAGAGCATAGTTTACGTATGTTGATAAAGAGTCCCGGTATTCCGATAACATTTTTTTGTTTTTCTGTTATCTTTTTGATTAGTCTATATGAAAACAGTAGGTCTACCTTACAGGCTCACATTTTGTGTTATTTTTATTAAGTCGATTCGGTTTGTTATTCATTTATTCTAGTATACCTATATTTTCTAGTATACCTATATTTATTCTAGTATACCTATATTACTGTTCTAAGGACCAAGTAGCTGCGTTGGTGAAGGTGAAGTCCTGCGGGGGCTGGACAGAGTTCATTGTGTGCTCATCCTACCTCCCGGGGGACTGTGCCCACCCGGACGAGCAACTGAAGGATCTAGTGGACTTATGTGGAAGGAGGAACTTCCAACTTATAATAGGAAGTGATGCCAATGCCCACCACACCGTCTGGGGAAGCAGCAATATAAACAAAAGAGGTGAGTGCCTACTTGAATTTATATATAGCAATAAATTAATGATTATGAATGAGGGCAATAGGCCGACATTCATAAATGCAATTAGGGAAGAGGTCCTTGACATCACCCTTTGCACTGAATTTATCGGCAGTAGAGTTGGTGGATGGCATGTCTCAAATGAGACATCCATGTCCGATCATAGGCAGATTACGTTTGATATCATGGTCTCCGGGGGTGTGGCAGAAGAAATATATCGGGTGCCCCAATCCACAGATTGGAGTCAATTCGAAACGCTCCTCATGGATGGGATTAGATCCGTTCCTGCTTTTGTCAGAACGGTTATGAATATCGAACTGGCCAGCGAGGCCCTGACGGCGGCTATTACTAATGCCTATCACGGAAGCTGCCGCGCTAAGCCAAGGCGGAGCAATAGGAAGTGCCCGTGGTGGAATGCGGAGCTTTCAAGGCTTAGACTAAAGACCAGAAAGCTATTTAATTAGGCCAAGGCGTCGGGTTCGTGGGAAGAGTATAAGGACTCACTCACAAAATACAATAAAGAAATTAGGAAAGCGAAGAGAATCTCGTGGAGGGCGTTCTGCAAGGGCATTGATGAACTCTCCAGCAGTGCGCGTCTTCACAGGGTGCTTTCCAAAAAGTATGCTAGCGGGTTGGACCTAATGGAACGTCCTGATGGCTCCATGACTGAGAACGCACTTTCCTGACTCGGAGATTCTTCGGAATCACTCAAATGCGATCATCGAACCGAGGGCATCCTGGCCCAGGAGGGATGACTGGCAACGATCCCGTCTAGTCTTCACGATGGGCAGGATTAGATGGGCTGTTTTCTCTTTCAGGCCCTTCAAATCTCCAGATGATGACGGGATATATCCTGCATTTTTGCAGAGGGGTTTCCAACATATCGCTAGAGCACTGTTCGAAATTTTTCGTGCCAGCTATGCGTGGGATTACATCCCTCAGGCATGGAGGGTGGCTAAAGTATACGTATATTCCGAAGGTGGGTAAGCGACCAAGCAACCACCCAAGGTCTTTCCGTCCAATCAGCCTTACTTCTTTTCTATTGAAAGCAATGGAAAAAGTGATTGATAGATTTATACGGGACGATGCACTGGGAAGCAATCCCTTGCATGAATCTCAGTACGCCTATCAGTCGGGAAGGTCTACTGTACTCGCTATGCAGAGTCTGGTGGGGTCCTTGAAAACTCACTGGAAGTGCGGGAGGTGGCAGTTGGCTGCTTCCTTGATATAAAGGGAGCTTTTGACAACACCCCATATCATGTCATCTGTGAGTCGTTGCACAAACGAGGGATTGATGAGACGACTAGCAGATGGGTTAATCGGATGCTACAGGATAGGATTATTAAGTCCACCATAGCTGACGATATACTCTTCATCTCCGCTGCAAAAGGATGTCCGCAGGGCGGGGTTCTTTCGCCCCTCCTGTGGTCCATTGTAGTGGATGTAGATACGCCGACGATGTGGTCTTCGTCGTGCGGGGAAAAGTTGAGAGCACTATTTCTGATCTTCTACAGCAGAATTTACATGTTGTGGAAAGGTGGTGCAAAGGCGTTGAGTTAAATATAAATCCAAGCAAAAGCACTTTGGTCGCCTTCACCAGACGCAGAAGCAGGGACAGATTAACGAGCCCAATTGTGTTTGGTGAACGTATTAGTTACTCGAGGGAGGTGAAGTATCTGGGGGTAACCCTGGATGATCGTCTCTCTTGGAATACCCATATAGATAGAGTTATCGGGAGAGCTACGGCGCCCTTGTGGACGTGTAGGAGCTTCATCGGGGGGACCTGGGGAATTAGTCCCGGAATAGCACTGTGGCTATATACGGCCCTTGCTAGGCCCATCGTCACCTATGCGTCGATTGTATGGTGCCGTAAGGCTCAGCAGGCGGGTGTGCGGGCCAAACTGGAAAAGCTACCGAGGCCTGGGAGTAAACGGGGCGATGCGGACGGCTCCCACCGCTGCATTGGAGGTGATGATCGGATTGCCGCCACTGCACCTCCATATATTGAAGGAAGCTCGGCTAGTGACTTACCGACTTCTCTCTGGCGAGGACGGGGTATGGCTAAAGTTGGCCCACAGAACTCACAGAGACTTTATTGAGAGTCGGCGTGCTCCGGCGGATTCGCCGCGGAGTTGCTGGGGATGAGCAGGAGCCGGGTTCGCACTATTGCGAATTTCTTCACGGGGCACTGCCCAGTGAAGTACCACCTGCATAGGCTGGGGAAGTCGGGCTCCCCCCTGTGCAGATTTTGTGGGGGTGGCGATGAGACCGCCGTGCACATTCTCTGCGACTGTCCGGCACTGGCTGTTCGGCGCCGCAACTGTCTTGGACATGGGGCCCTAAGTGTTCGGGAACTGTTGTCCAACTCCCTTAGGGATATCTCCGGCTTTGTGATTGGGACGGGGATTTTATAGACCAGGGAGTGGGGGGGCTGCAATAAGTCAAAAATGGCTGCGGTAGCTTTGGGGTTTCTCCTGTCCCACTCGGTTCCCTTAGAATCTACAATCTACAATACCTATATTTTTTCTGTGAAGTAAAATTTTCGGAGTACCTCGTAACTATTAAATCGGTGTTGTTAGTGAACCATAACTCACAACTGAAAAAACCTGTTTTGTTAGCTTTAATCGTCGTAAATTAAATTCACTTCTCGATTCACACAGAAGGTTATTTAAAATATTTTGTTAAACATCACTAGTTTGTTAGAGTATTTAAGTACTACGGCTGGATTAAACATCTTCTTACTTACCGTTTCGGGGCACTCATCAAGGACTTGATTGATACAATGAACTGTTACGGTTGTAACAAAATCGACAATTCAATTTACATTTTATTTTATTTCTAAAATATCCCCTCTCAGAAAAAAAATATTAAAAAATTCTTAATAACTATACTTGAGACGTCATATGGTTCAAATTTTCTTGTCTATCATCTTATCCTGACACATTAAGTTACCATAATATTGCAATTCATTTTACCATCTTAAAACTATGCATTACTGCAGGACACCTTCAATTAAATTTAATACATAAAAACATTTCTTATAACTATTTGTCATATACTTAATAATAGAATCATAAGATGAGTATGATATCATCAGTCTATTCTAATTCAGAACTTATCAAAAAAAACGAAAGGAACGAAATGTGCATTTATGCATACTGCCAAAGACTAAAAAAAAAATATAATAACAATTACAGTAAAAAAAAGAATAATAGAAAATTTTTGAGATTGGATTATCCTTTTTGTTTTCTCCCATATTGTTTTTCTTGCCTTTATACAAAACTTTTGCTATCAGAGGCATTTTTTTTCCCATATTCTTTTTCTTTGAATTTTAAGAGAAAAGATCTTTTGTGTTTTGGGGATATTTTTTATCATCATTTTCCATTTAAATTTTTTTTTTGGTTGTATAAAGCTGAGAGAGCCCGAGATATAAATGTGAATAAAAATGCATCCACTGGAAAGAGCTTATATTTAAAGATGATTTCAGCTAAAAATAGCAAAAAAATGGAGTTGCATAATTGAATTTTTAAATAGAAAACATAAAAATAAAGAAGATGAATGACATTTATTATTATGAAAAACTTTTTAAATTTCAAGATTCTCGCATATAGCTGTTACTACTACAACTACTTTACCACTTCTACTATGATTATAATACTACAACAACTTGTATAGCACCACAATTCATCTAACATTCTAGCACACTACTGTTATTTTTCTTTTTAACATTTACTTTTTGTTTTTTTGTTTTAGTTTTGTTTTTTAACTCATAATTGCGTTCTATGTACACTATAATCTTTATCATATACACATATTCCCATAAAGCAGCTTATCATACTGTGAGGTAAATGATAGACACTGATGGGTATTCACTTTATATAAGTATTCACAGAACATAGAAACATATACTCATTTATGTTGAAAAATAATTTGCTTAAGTCTTCTAATAATATTGTTAAAAATATTCAGTGGTGTTCCAAGTCAAATTGGGAACAATATACTTAATATATTAAAATTTAAAAAGCATATTTAATTTACAGGCCATTCCAAAAATTTATACATCAATATTTATTTTTAAAATTTCCAAACATTATATTATCTGACCTGCTTAGGAACTGGATCGTATATTGCACAAATGAGGTGACAGTGCCCAACACTATGTTGTATGAAGGACACTGGGCATAAAACACCCTCGAGTAATTTGAAACGTCTGGCAGATCACATTTCCACCAGAGTAAGTGCGTAAGAGAAAATTTCAAAACTCTAGATAAAACAGCCGATTGCAAAATTTTTGCCGGCAAAACAGCCAATAAAGCAAATATTTAAAATCGTGGATAATATTCAAAACACCTTGTTATTTCAAATATCAAATTCAACAGTTCCATTTAAAATTTTACAATTCTACATCACTGATAATATTAAAATCAGCACAATGCTCATAATTAAACTTTTTTATATACATACAAATTGTATATGAATTTGTATGTACAAGAATAATATGAGAATTTAAAAATGCTCTTATAAAAGTATATAAAGAATGCATGATTTATGCATTACTCTATATTATACGAAATAATGTATAAATAAGTACAATGTAGATAATGCACAATAAAACTGTTAAAATAATGTCGACGTCGTCATCATCATTGTCGTCGTCATCGAGGAGATGCTAGAAATTGCCTTCAGTCATTCAAAAATTTTAAATATTTCTCTCTCTATATATATTATGTACTTTTATCCTGTTGCGTTTTTCTTTTAATTTTTGCTTTCCTGGCTATGATATTTTCTTTTTCTATATACTCTGCTTGTTAGTAATATTCTTTCTCTTTTTCTCTTTCTAGCAGCTCTTATTAAACAAAAGAAAACCCTCAATTTATGGATAGTTAAAATAATAAATATAATAAAAGAAAATTATGATAAAAATACAAGGAAAATTTTTTAAAAATTTTATTCGTACATGAAAATAAATTTATGATTTTAACACATACATATGTATACATATATTTATATGTATTTATAGAACACATTTATCACAAATACACACAATTAAGCTGCCATAATATGCGTCTCTATTACAATAAATTTTGTTAAAATTTACCTTTCTACTGAAATTGTAGTATGTTTTGCAATTACAAACGTTAAAATCTCTACTGCATATTTGAAAAAGTATAATTGGCAACAGTGTTTATGTCAAAAAATTGTAAAAAATTTAACTAGTACGGAATTACAACTTTAAAACAGAGTAATAATAGCAATATAAAATCATTACCTTGAAACGGTTTAGTTTCCCTCAGTTTCTAACACATATAAAGGAAATTATGATTATTAGACCAACAGCCTTGACCGTCAACTTAGCTTAACTCTAAATTTTAGGCTTAATTTAGGTAATATAAACAAATTATTTCCCTCGAACTGCTTTCAATTCAAAATTTTAATTTAAACTTTAATAATTTAAATGTTACTTCCATTATTTGACAAAAAAAAAAAACAACAACGGCAACACTTTTACTATTACAGTTTCTCTCTATTTAAAAAATTACACATTTAATAAACAACAGTGAAAGTAAGAAGGAAGAAACATTTTTCCTCTTTATTCATAGAGTAAATATTATTTTTAACGTATGATGACAATTTCTCTTTTTCTCGTTACTTCTTATTTTCAAGGATATTCCGAAAAAAAGGACATATTATTATTATTATTATTATTATTATTATATTACAATGAAATGGGGTGGGTAAAAAAATATCAATTTTATTTGTTCCCCTTTCTTTATTTCGATTACTTTTTATTTCTCTTTTTGTTTTTTCATCCAGAAAAAAGAACAAAAAAGAAAAAGAGAAAAATTTAATGCAGTGAATTATCTGCACTTCCTGAGCTTTATTATCGTTTCCTTCTGAATAAGATCACTTAAATATCCTTTGAGAATATTTTGATTTGTATATTTTGTTTCTTTTTAGTATTTGTTTGGAGTCGGGTTATATGAGGTATACGTTTTATTTATTTGATATGTAGGTGCTCGTATTATTATTTATTTTTTGGTATGTGTGTTGCATGCATATAAGAGGACATGCATGGGTACATACATAAGTGAATGTATAATGAATGTGTTTTATTCAATGTGGTTTTTTTGATTATTTTATTCTCATTCTCTTTTGAATTTTTATCTCTCTATTTTCTGACTGTTTTACTGTCATATCGCATAATGATTGATGGAGTGAAATAGTAAACAATTGCTTTTCCGTTGGTTTTCTCATATTTTGTCGAAAAGGAGGGAAGTCATTTTTTATTGAATTTTTTTTTGAATTATTCTTTAATATAATTTTTTATTAAAATAATTTTTGTAAAAATACTTAAATAATTTAAGTTTTTTTTTTTTTTGGTTACACGCACAAGTTTACTTTTACTTTCAACACTTTATTTTTTGTTTCATTAAATTCAATGGCATATAAGACATAATAATTTTATCCAGAAGGAAATTGTTAGTTAATATTTTGTAGTTATGTCGTATATACATATGAATTTATGATAATACATAAAATGTATTATCATAAATTCAAATGGAATTTATAAAGAATTTCATTTATTTAGTGATTGTAAATTTTTCAGTGATTTTAAAACTATATTAGTATTCTAATGGGGACTTGGCTCTGACGGTTTCTCGAACCCAAAAAGGTGTTCCAGTTCATCAGGAGAATGAATTTTGAGACGATGTTGTAGGGGGATTTCCTGCACTCCTTGGAGAGGGGGACAATAGATCCTTATGGGCGGTCGTGGCACTCGACACGCTACCCGGCTCTTAATCACGACGTCACTGCATCTTCCCTGTTGATTTTCTCAATTATTTCTATCCGAAAATACATTTGCTAGACTTTCGTTTATCTGTCAATGTTAATTTATTTATCTCTGTCAAAAAAGTATATTTTGTTTCACTTTAAAAATAAAATCAACTCTATTCTCTTCTCTTCCCCTTAAAAATGTAATTCTCTTTTCATATTCTCTTATTTAATAAAAGTTTAGTTTCCTTAAACTTTAGAATTTTTGGAAACTCTTGGAAATTTTAAAAAAATTCAAAATAAAAAGATTGAAAATCACTGATTAATAGAAAATATGAATAATTTTTATATTTTTCTGGAAAGTAAAAAAAAAAAATAAAAATAATATTTTATTTTATTATTTTCTTTTATTTGTTTTAAAGAGCAAGAAATTTTATTTTTTAGTTGAAAAAAAGAATAAATCTGTATATAAATTATTCTTTTATATAAAAGATACTTATATGCCCCAAAGATTATAAAGAGCATTAAAAACGAGCACTTAGTTTCTTATCTTTTATATTTGTATAATAGTATATATACATAATAATAACAATATTCTGGAAATGCAAAAAGATTTTATAAAACATAAGAATAGCAATAATGTGAATTGGAAATTTTAAATCATAAAAATTTATTATATGCGAATATTTAAAGAAGAAGAAAAATATATTATTCAATTTATTTATAATTTATAAATGTTATAATAGTAATAATATGTATGAAGAGTATGACAGCATTTGTATATTAAAAGAAAGTTATATAGTGTCTTGCTTTGTAATCAAATGAAAATTTAATAAGAAAATTTCATATTTATAAAATTTAATTTCAATATTTAGAATGTCAGATGTTTACACAAGAGGACTTTCGCTTATAACAAAACCTTAGGTTAGGTTAAGGGTTGGGTTAAGTAGGAGATAAGGTACGCCTAGGCCACGTAGATCCGTTGTGACTCCGCTGCATAAAATTGGGCTTAAAAATGTAAATGTTGTTAAACGAAGGCGCTCTTGGAGTATAATCATGCGATCATAATTGGGAGGACGTCTTACAGGTCTTTCTGCGAGAACATTGAAGGATTGCGAATGACAATTTTTCAAATAGTCAAAGACATACAAATGCAAAAAATTCATCCGGAGTCTAGCAATGGTGTTGATCTGCCTATGAGATCGAAGAGGAAATACACTGAAACCACTGAGGCAATATTCGTGTGGCTGGTATGGAACCGATTTGATTTTACATGGCCACAGAAGACCAGAGAAGCAGGATTGTGGGGATTATGAGGCCTTCCCTTTTCAAACAAAGCTCTTTAGTGCTAGTCTTGTGTTTGGTTGTTTTCCACGTACGTGTTCCATTGTGTTGGTGACTTTCATTTCCAAAGCAGGGCTTTTTTTAGATGACTCGTAGTAATCCAAAATCAATGTGACTGTTCAGTTTATCGTTATTTATCACGAAAACGGTGAAGAAAATTTCTATTTATAAAGTTTCATTAGTGAAACTTCAGGCAAAGCTTTTTGCTTTGGACCTTTCAATGTGTGAGAACATTTGTAAATAATATGTGAACTATACCATTAAAATGTTCTCGGATAATTGAGACATTAGACTCTTACGAAATCGAATTGAATTTAGTATGGAATTATCTAGAAATGCTGATGGAACTTGTTAATAGAACTAAGGTTATCCCATCGTCGTTCCCGTTGCATGTGGATGTGTATGATAACGAAGGGCCGAATGCTCTTGCAAAGTCTGGAACGACGATAGCTTTTGTTTGACTCGAGCCTTTCTGTGGACTGTCGAATTGTAGAATAGTGTAGCTTAGCTTGCGCTTTATAAACAGTGTTATGTTACAATTAGCACCTTTGGCCGCAGTGGCCTGATCTGAAAGTAACTCTTGGAATTATCAAAATCAAAATTAAATAAAATATAAGTACTCGTAAAGAAATGGAGCATTTTAAGTCATTTATTGCTGAGAATGACTTAGCTTTCAATGTAATGGGTATATTAAACTAAAAATATCTTTCAAGTGATTTTGTTTTTTAATTTTTCTTTATTTTTTATTATTTTGAATATTGATTTTTACTCATATAACCATAAATAAAATTTCAAGAGGGTATAAGCATTAAAAGATAAGGAGGCACAAGTATTTTTTTTATTATAATAAAAACGTCTGATTAGAATCAATTAATTTACACTAATGAATTTCTGTGATTTATTTTAAATTTTTTGATTTATAATCAACAATTAGAGATTTTTTTAAATACACACATAGGTACATATTATATTCAAATATTTTCAATATTGAAATTTAAAATATCACAATGAATGAATTCAAAAATACAAATGAAAAAATTTCAATTTCACAAAAAAAAAAACCCAAAAAAGTTCGAATTAAACTCACTGCTAAAGGGTCATCATTTATACTTAGGTAGGTCTAGTACATACACACATAATTTTAATATTAATCATATGAATGTTTTGTTATCTAAAGTGGGCAAGAACACAGTTATAAGTACATACTTACATGTGTATTAAATATTCGAAATCCAAAAATCAAAAATCAATTCATCAATTGTTAATGCTTGTAATTTGGGTGTTATCATTTATAAAATTTTCAAAATCTATTTTTATAACTATAAAAGTACTTTTTAAGAAGATAATAAAATTACATTAATTACTTGTGACATCACATTATATAATTATAATTATAGCAAATAATATTTGATCAAAATTGAGGAAGAGAAATGAAAATAATTGGATTCAATTTAATTTTGAGAGTCTAGGAAAAAACCAGTTGAAACTTTATTTATTTATTGGAGCTGTTCTAGATTTTTTAGTGAGACCATTACAATAATCTTTTAAATGCCTGGAATTAGTTCGAAATTGTCAAAAATTTTGAATAACTTTGAGGAATTCAAATAAATTGTCCATAATACAAGGAATTAACGAAAGTAAATTTTAGTATTAATGGAATAGTTTCGTATAAATCAACACTTTTACAATTTTTAAATTTTTCTCTCCACATAAAAAGAACCGAATTTAAGTTTTTCTCTCACATAGAGAGAACCGAATTTAAGTTTTTCTCTCAGATAATTATTGAAAAAAAAAAACAACTGTAAGAGCACATTTAAAGAATATTTTTGAATATGAGATCCCATTTGGCCATTTTAAAATCAATATAATTTACCGTAAATTTCCCTCCATACTGCGAGCACTATATAATTCAGGGATTAGTTCATTTTCTGACTGAAAATTATAATTTCCCAAATTGTATAAAATACTCGTACGTAACAAGTTCGTGATTAACAACGAATCATATTTACAAATATTAAACACAATTTTTTCTCTTTCAAATTCAGGAGAGGAATATATATAAGTACTCTACGTGATTTTCCATTCGTTTTCAATAAGAGAATAACAAAAATATCGAAAATTCCCGAAAAATTATCGAATTTCCTATATAGGACAATATTTTGGCACAATTTATAGAAAATTCTTTTTTAAAAATTAATAATAGGAAATTTTTTATTAAAGTAAAAATAACCCTTTAATATTAATTAATACTTTTTACGATATACATATTTACGATATATGAATTTTAGATAATATCGTAACGTAATATATTCATAATATAATATTTATTAATAAAATATTATTTTTACACCCCCCCCCCCCCCCCCCACTTTATTATAAATACGAAAATTAAAAGAATGTTTGTACAGAAAACATTACAAATGTATTTTTAGGTGTACAAAAAAAAAAATAAAAATGAAAACTCATTAGTTTTTGATTTTTGTTTGTTCTATTCCCTTCTCTTTTACCTCTGGTTGTCAATAAATTTTCTCTCTCTCTCTTTATATATATTTTAAAGCATGGATGGCAATTAAAGGGCACGCGTGCCAAACTTGGCACGGAAAAAAAATTTGATGGCACGTTATAATTGTGCCTCGACAAATTTTTATATAGATTTTTTTTCTAATAAAAAATCTAAAAACTCGTTGAAAAATTGATTGAATGAAAAATTTCCTAAAAATGATAATTTCCTAATAGCGAAATGACAAATATTCAAAACCAAACATATTCAAATGTTATATTCTTTTTATTTTTGTTTTTTTTTCACTTCACTAACCCAGCATTTACACGTACAAGTTACTTGCAAGAAAGTTGCAATACATACAAAAATTTTACTAACACATTGAAATATTTCTACTTGCTTGTTTACTTGCAGTTCAACTTGCAAGAAAATTTTGCTGCCAGTAATTTGACATATTGAGAAATTCACAAAAAAAAATTTGTTGTTTTGATTTTTTTTTTTTTTAATTTAAAATTTTTGAATTTTGTTTTGAAAAAATGAAACTTAGCAAACTTATGGTTTCTAAAATTTATAAACAATTATATATATTGCTAGTTGTTTTCTTCTCAAAGACATTTTCAAAAATCAACTTGCTAAACGCCTACGTCATAATAGCAAGTAATTTGACATTTGGAAAAACTAATTGACAATTAATATTATACAAACTTGCTTGCAAGTAGCTTGTATGTGTAAATACTGGGTAAGTAAAGTATTGAAAAAAAATTGAAAACGAAAAAAAATTCAAACCGCTTTGAAAATGCATTGAGTATTCAAAAATTTCAAAAAAGAAAAAACATAGTAAACTTTGAAGTTTTCTTTTTAAAACAAAAAAGTTGTGGTTTTTAGGGTATGAAAAATTATCCATATTTCATTTGGAGCGAAGTTAGCAAGAGTGAATGTCATAATTGTTTTTCTGAGTTTACACAACACGTGTCGTGTTTAGTTTTTTACCGTTATTTTTAATTGAAAATACTTCTAATAGAAAGTGAATGAAAAACATCGACCAATTTCTAATGCTAAATATTTTTACAGCTGTAAACTTGATTTCGGTAATGAACTAATTTAACAAATAAACATTATTTAAATATATATAATTTTTATCGTGTAATTTTAGATTTAATTATTTACCCCATTAACATGTCACCAATAAAAAAACAAAAACTACAGGATGTTCGCAGTTTTTTACCATCTTGGACAATTGATTACGGCTTTATTAAACATGGAGATAAGAGTCGTTGTGGTCTGTGTTCCGAAGTTATTGTATGTCGAACATCTTCTATTAAACGACATTTTGAAACTAATCACAGGGAAATTTCTGAAAAAAATATTGCCGAAAGAAGAGAATTAATATCACAACGATTAAAAGATGTTGAAAAACAATCAAATTTGTTTTCAAGATTTGTGAAAACTCCTAATAATATAACAGAAGCGAGTTTTGAAATTTCTTATTTGATTGCTAAACACTCGAAACCATTTTCTGACGGAACGTTTATAGAAACACTTATGTTAAAAGCTGCTTCCAGTTTGTTCCAAGATTTCAATAATAAGGAAAAAATTCTCCAAAGAATACAAGAATTACAGATGAGTAGAAATACTATTAAACAAAGAATTTTAAAAATGAGCATTAATATTTCCGAACAACTTCAAACCGATATTAATAGTTGCGATTTCTTCTCAATTTGTTTGGATGAAACAACTGACATAAACTCGTCTGCCCGATTAGCAATTTTTGCACTTTATTCAAAAGGGAATGAAATACGCGAGGAGCTGTTGAAATTAGCAAATATACCGGAAAGAACAAGAACAAAACAATAGGGTCGATTTTAAAGAACTTGATGACATAGAATGGCTAACAAAATTAATGTTTTTCACTGATTTAACATTACATTTAAACTCTCTAAATAAAAAATTGCAAGGGCGTGGGAAGACGATTGAAGTTATGTTTGGACTTATAAAGGGGTTTGAAGTTAAACTAGATATTTTCATTAGAGATATCGAATCTGGAAAATTTGAATATTTCCGAAAACTAAAAGTTTTTTTTGATGAAATACACATTTTTGAAAAAACTAATTGGAATTTCACCTATGAATTTACAAATATTCTTGTTTCTATTAAGCAACAGTTTGCACAAAGATTTCTCGATTTTAAAAGGATCGAAAATATTTTAAAAATTATTAATTACCCAGATTTATTTGATATGCAAGATTGTGACAATAACCTCCTTAATTGGATGCGATTAGATAATTTAGAAATGCAAATTATTGATCTGCAATCCAATCCAATTTGGGTAAATAAATTTGTGAATATGCGGAAGCTTGTTGAAGATTTAGAAAGCCATCGATCCCAAAATGAGGAATCAGAATGTTTCATGGAAAGTAAAATTTTAGAAGCTTGGAATAGTATGCCAGATACCTTTTATTCTGTCAAAAAATTAGCAATCTCGTTGTTAACGATTTTCTCTTCCACTTACTCTTGCGAAAGTCTTTTTTCCGTTTTGAATCATGTACATTCAAAGACTAAAAACAGATTAACAGAGGAAGATTCGGCAGCATGTATTACTCTGCAGTCAACAATGTACCAGCCCGACATAAAAACTCTTGCAAGTAATATGAAACAAAAAGTTTCTGATAAAAAATTAAATTAATATTTTTTCTATCTGTATTTATTAATTTTTATACCTTGAACTATAATATGTATAAATAAATATTATTACAACTTGTCATAATATTGTATTTACCTAACCATACCTGTACTTGGTACTGTGCTGGCACGGGAAAAAGTGTGACAATAAATTTCCCCAAATTTTGGCACTTTGATCAAACCCTATTTGCCATCCCTGTTTTAAAGGTTTCGTTTTTATCGATCGCATTGTACAACAAGGGTTAGGTTATGTGATGGTACCAAATTTTTGAAGTCAAGTTTTCGGTGGGAACGCACTTCTCCATGGTAGGGAAGTGTTAATAAATTATTTTTAGAGAGATGTCGTCGGTCTGTGTACGCACGCTTGTATCTCAAGTTCAGCAGAACCGATTTTGATGAAATTTTATATTTGAGTTTATTTTGGCTATGACACGAATTAATCAACTTTTGGGATATATGA